GGGGGAAGGGGGCATTACGATTAGCATGTATAATGTGTGGGGTGGGGGCAATGGGGAGGGCTGTGCAACACAGAGGACAAGTAGTGATTCTACAGCATGTTACTATGCTGATGGACAGTGACTGTAATAGGGTTTGTGGGGGGGGACTTGGTGAAGGGGGGAGTCTAGTAACCATAATGCTCCTCATGTAATTGTAGATTAATGATACCAAAAAATAAAAGACACCTGTGAGCCTCCCCTCAGGCCAGGGGGGTGGGGGGAGGGGATGAGCCTGCAGTCTCAGTGGGCCACTAGCACTAGAAAGTCAAGTGGGCACCAGTCAGACCAACCAGGTCAGCATCAGGAGCCCTACTGATCCCTTGGGCCAGAAACAGGAGCAGACGGGCCCAGGAACAGGAGGCCCCTCCCCAGGGGGACCTGCTGGGGAGTCTGTAGGCACCCCCCACCCCAGCTTGGCTCTACCCTGGGGAAGAGGGGACAGAACAAAACCCTATGAGGGCCTTTAAAGATAAACCTTCCTTGACTCTTAAATCCTTCAGTTTGCCCTGATTTATTCAAAACCTTACTCATTACTTGTCCATTCAAATGTTAAGAAAGGTATGACCATAAACGGACAAGGTGTTGATGGACTCTGCAGAGAACACAGAGTTAAAGGTGCTGGGGAAGGCTGCACCTCACCCCAGGCCAAAGGAAAGTGAGGTGCAGGGGTGCAGACACACGTGAGGACAGCGCCCCCACCGAGTCCTCCGCAGCCGAGAGCCCTGGATCCCCGACGGCTCCTCACCCAGAGCCAGCTGCAGCCACAGACAGCGCCAGGCGGCTGAGCTGCTCGCTGCAGATCCCCCTGGGTCAGCCGGCCACACGGACCCGGAGGGAGAGTTGGTCAGAGGCCACGGGCGCTCTTCCCCTTTGGAAGTTTATGGGATACATGTTCACTGCACAAGGACAATGCCAAACGCTGTGCGACCCCGTGGGCTGCAAGTGAGCACCACCCCCACCCCCCATCTGCAGTGAGCGAGACGGGTGCTCCCAGACACGGGGCCCCATCATCCGCCCTGCCTGAGGCCGGGGCAGGTGCCACCCCAGAGACATCACAGAGGAGACCGCCAAGTCCCTCTTCACTGCCCGGTGGGCGACACTGGTGGCCACCAGGGTGTTCGGGAGGCTGTCTGTAGGGCAAGGACTTGACACAAAGGGGCCCAGCTTGGATTTGGGTGACAGTAACGCAGGCCTGGCCAGGCAGACCGGCTTGGAGGGGATGATGGTGAGAAAGGGCCGCATGGCGGGTGCGCAGGGTTCCCCCAGCCCCACGGCCTTGTCAGCCCGCGATGTTGGCAGTGAAGTGTGGGGGTTCCTAGATACGGGCCTCCCCACA